AAGAGAACGGGCCAAGTCTCAATGACAGTATGTACAAGTCGCTCGCGTAATGAAAGTTGCCGAAAGGACACATTAGGTCAAATAACAAAAGCAGTGACAATTCATTGCGATCTTGACCCCAAGTCATCGCAAAACCAATGAGATATTGAAAATTGCACAGTTCGACGTGTAGACCTTAGCTAGCAGCTTACGTAACAGTTTTCAGAACTCGAACCGGGTTTAGAACTCGAGCGTTTCAGGAACACACAAAAGGTAGACAATTGAAAGGTTGGACTTGGATAAATTAATTCATAGTTGTATGCTTGTACAGTTGCTAAAATTTTTCTCCGATTTAGTTAATGAGACATAACAAGAACAGTTTACTATAATCTCTCTAATACACAATTATAAGGGCACAGGATATAAATAATTGGGAGATCAGCCAAAAAAAAAAGCATTGCATAACGACAAACATCGTTACATAAATACAAGACTGCTGGTGTTTCCTCCTCTTTGATGACACAAGCGAATACTGACAACTTTTGCGGAGAACTGTCGCTATTTTTGGATAAAATCGTGAATTTTCTGCGTACATGCAAATAACGATACTTAAGTTACAATGTACGATGATACCCAAGATACTGAGACGCTATGCGATGAATAAATAAAGGAAAATTTATATCAGCATATAAATGCATGTGCATGTGAAATTCGTAAACTGTTTGATAAATATATCCACTGTTGAGCTAAAGCGTACGCGTTATCCCTCTTTCCTTTCGAATCGCAACGACATTTGCAACGCTTCCTTTAGCAAAAAATGTTAGTAAAACTTTTCGATGTCACACAATCTTTCCATACGATTTAAGTTCATTTAATATGCCATAAATTTTGATTTTATTGTCAATTATCACGAATGTATAAGAAACTGTACGCATTAACTAACGTCAGTCAATCAGTTTGACATGATTGATGTGTGTAACGTAAGAACTTTTTAAAATCATTTCCATAAGTATTAACAAGATCATTAATCATTAATGTGTCTTCTGGTATACTTCTAAATTTATTATGTATTTTTTCCTAAATATATGCAATGAAATTTTTTTTGATTTTTCATAAAAATTTATTCTAAATATCATTTAACAAAAGATTTATTATTTCTTCATATCGATCACACAAAATGGTCGCTATTTTATTTTGTCATTACATAGAATGAAGGCTTTAAAAACTTATATTTTAAAAGCAGATTTTTGTGCGATTTTTCTTTATTTCATTGACATTTTTATCAATGACGTAAATATATATTTCGTGGAATTGATTGCATTTTATGGTAAATCATTTAATCTTGTGTCTGAACCTTTGCTCTACCATGCCCAACAGATCCATTGTGTATTCATAAGCACATATATATATAATCCAAAACAAAGCACGAAAAAACGCAAACGCAGTTAAAATGGAAAAATTTACAATGTGCTGCACATGAACAGCGAATTATTCGTATGCCTGGATAACGAAATATAAACGTGTCAAAAACATATATATATATAACATATATATATATATATATATAAAAAATATGTTTATTAAAAATTGAAAGTGAAATGGATACAGAAAGAGAATAGAGACAAGGATAACTTAACCCATTTTCTACTGAGGTCTTTTTACTCATATCACGTAGAGTATTATAACAAGTTTGTCAAAGGTTTGCGATGCAAAACAAATAAGCGATAGGTGCTCCATGAACAATGTATATCTTCTTGAAATTCCATTGCTGCGTGAAACTGGTTAAATTCAACTTGTTTCTGTCAAATGTGATTTTTGTGGCCAATTAAAATCGCTACCATAAACCAATATAAGAGCCTTTCATCTCCTTCTAAAGAAACAGGAATTGATGCGGAAACAGTTAAATGCCTAATACTTTCTTTTAAAGTATTTTAAACTGTTATTAAATATTTGGAATAGAACTTATTGTGAGCCCTTTTTTTAAGGGAAAGTGTAAGTCGTACTGCATGTTGCTGAATAAACCTATGACCTGTTCGTTTGAAAATGCTTTCTCTAAACTATGCACAACCGTATAAATTATTACAGGTAATCGTATGCCGCATAGTTCGTTGGAGCCTTCCATAGGTGCAGCTTAATGCCAAAAAAACCTCATTGCATGAAACTTTATTTTTCCTAATTAATTCGAAAGACAGAGCTGCTAAATCCTTGCGAGTGGTGAACAACGGATACGTTACAATGTCCAAAATGCAAATAACTATGACACGGGGTAAGCGAACCATTAACATGAATATCATTGAGGGACTCGACAGAGTTTCGCGTTCCAAAAAACTTAAAGCATCACGCAGGAGTTCTTTTCACAATAGTTGATGCAACTGGGACAAGAAATGGGCATGATATTCCAAAAGTCATAACATCGCTGGTTTCGCTGGTATGAAGAAAGTCGACCCCACCCCGATAGCAAGGTACGATTAAAAAGTGGTTGCATTTCTAACCTGAAATATTCTACCAATCCCATGATTATCAGCAGACACAATTCTTCTTCCGGTTAACGCGGCTTCCAATAGATGATTTGTTGTTGTTGCTTGTAACGATGCCTTTGATTCTTATGACGATACCCAAATACAAATTCTTTTGAGGAAGGCTCAAAAAGCGACATTTTTTTCAAAGCGTAATTCGAAAATTCGGTGAGAGATGGGAAACATCACTAGCCAACGATGAACAATATTTTGATTAATCAGATCATTCATCTTGTTCTGAAATAAATACATTTTGTGATCACAAGTACACCGATCCAATATATATATATATATATATATATTATATATATATGTAGGTACATATAAGAGGTTTGCCTTTCTATAGACCGATTACCTATGTTTTCACATTTCAAAAAATTGGAATTCTCTTGTCATTGTATTGAAAACATTTTCACTTCGTGTGAAAACTAAAGCGCACCTTGTTTAAATAATCTACGGGCTCTGCGTTGTTATATAACTAAACCATGGATGTGTGCTGAGTTGGATTTTTCATTTTGGACTTTGGAAAAAAGAGCAATTCATTGACCTACACGCCAAGCACTCAGTGAAATCTCCTTTCTTCGCGAAGTACGGTTATTTTATTCGCTAGCAGAGCTATTAAATATAACTTATGCTTATGTTCTTTGATAAGGGCAAGACAAGCATTTATTTAGTATACACGCTTTAAAAGTAAATTTTCCAAAGTTTTGTTATAAAATCTCGAAAATTACCTTTGAAATATTGTGACGTTGCGCGTTTAATTGGAACAACTGAGGGAGTAAAACAAAGATTAAGAAGATGTAGAAAATGAAGATTGGGAAAATGTTAGCAAGTGATTGCAATCTTTTCTTAATTTAAAAGTTCTCTTAACCTTCCTCATATCTCATGCTTGCTAGAAGTTTACGCGTGCCTTTTAATATATTAAGTGAAGAAAAAAATTAATGACGTCTTTCCTAATTCATCGCTTTAGATTCAGGAAATTTGCTCATATTGAAGCCATCAAGCCGTACAATAGCAAGTAAGAAAAGTGACAATTCATAGAAAGATGAAAAAAAAAAAAAAAAAATGATAATATTTGCTAATTAAGTTGAGTGTTTAAAATGAATAAAAACCAAAAGAAAGTCGCTTATATATTTTGCAACATCCACTTCAACGAAGGCGGTAACGCTTTGAGGACTTTTGGAAATTTTTCCTAATGTTCATGAAAAGGTGTTAATAAAAGCAATAGTATGTAAACGATCGAGGGTCAATTCCACTTACGAAACTTCGACATTGAAGCCGGGACGTGCTCTGACTGAACGAAAACATCTTTCTTGATATGGACTTTTTCATATAAATTTAAGACTACTGACAACATTCCGCTTTAGCACATCGCTGCATAACTGGTCATTGAACTATGAACAGTGAGTTTTTGTATTTTCTCACGGAATGGGTTAAATTTCCATCTCCGAATCAATGCTAAGGATTGATAATCGGAGATGATAGTCGAGTACGAAAGACAAACTGTGGCCATGCGTGGGAATGTAATGTTTAGTGTTTACAGGGATTTAAAGAGAATCGTGTATGAACTTGAATGTGGCCAAACAGTTGACTCCACTCCCTGCTATCAACAACTACAACGTGAAGCGTTCAGAATTAATCAATAAAAAAAGTGTCGTCCTCGACTAAGGCAATTTCATGCCTCTTATGATGTTTGCCTGTAAAAGCTGTGATGTATCGATCGTTGTCTCGTCGTACTACTACTGGTGTCTCTCTGTGCAGAACTTCTTGAATATTGTGAAGCTTACTTGAAAGGAAGCCTGTGAAAATCATCTCATTCAGTTTTTCGTCCACAAATTCCACAAGCTCTGCAGCACTTTCCGTTAAGGCAATACCGAAATAATAACAAAGGGTTGTCAAGCCATTCGGCATATATTTGATGCAATACAGTTTTGTTAAAGTAAAAGAGATTTTTGTGCGATAAAACGCCACAAAGTTTTTCCTTGACCTATTAAGTGATCTTGCCTTTACTACTTTTGATTTTGAAAGCAACAGAAACTGATGAACGAAGGGGCGCATTCATCTTGGAATTTCACAGTCTCTAATATAAATGCGTGGATAGGACGAATGAAACAACAAAACTAACGTAGAAGAAATACTATATACATATATATATATATTAATGAGAAGCAAGTAAAAATTGTAGTATAAAAGCTTACAACAAAACATTATTTAATTATTCATTTACAAAATGAATAAATGATTGATGATGATAATGATGATGATAAATGATTATTAATTAAAAAACTTAATAAATGAAATATTTATTTTTATGTTTGTGTTAAAAAGGAAACATAACAATCAAAATCTCATTTAAAAGCTAAATAAATATCGGACTTTAGCTTTTTACAGCATAAGACTTTTAAGTAAGAACTTAGCAGGAGTTTTTCATAGCTAAGAAAACATATTGTGATCAAAATAATTTAACAAACAATTTCTTCTTTTTTTCATCTCTTGCCTTTTCAGCTGTAATTTCCATATTGTTTTCAAAGAAGAAGTGAAAAAACTGACATGTAAAATTATGCAAGAATAATGCAATTTATGAAAAGAAAGCAAGAGAAATATGTTACAACAACATGATGAGAAAAAACAATTGAAAAACGAAGTAAAACAAAGTACGTGTAAAAAATTTGTTGAAAAAGACATAGAAGAAGAGGGAGAGAAAAGTGCGTTAATTATTAAATTTGAGTAAAAGCTGAAGGGCCGCCCGTCATTAACATCAGCTGTTAGGTTGAAAGTCAAGGACACTAAAACGTTTTCTTTGTCTCTAATAATTATGCCTGCCTTTAATGTTAACGATGGCGTTTACAACAACTTGATTATAATGATGATGCTGCTGATGACTGTAATAACGATAATGACGACAACCATTACAGTAACAACTTAATGCAAGTTGGCTTTAATGTACGATTAGATAGCATCATTCACAATAGCACTTAAACGACGACGGATGATAGAGAAAGATTCTTTTTAAAGAAAATAATAATAAAAAAAAAAAAAAAAATTAAAATAAACAGTGGAATTTAAAAAAAAAAAGAATAGAAAACGCAAATAATTGTGCTGTCAATCGGCTGTCTAATGGTTTGAAAGGTACACCAAGCTGCAGTCAATCTTTTCGCTGATACACTGAAAACGAAAATAATAATTCCAACGTCATGCCTGAACAGGATAATTATGATGATGAGGTAAATATATTTTCTTTGTTTTTATTTGTCTCACAAAAAGTATGCTTTCATAAATTTTACAAAAAAAAAAAAAAGGAAAAATTCTTTTCCATATTGAATGCCAACAGTGCACAAATACTTTCTACAGTTCGTTAAATATTATATTGTAAATAAAAAGGAAATAAAAGCAACCACAATAAAAGCTATTAACCCCATTAAAGGTTACGCGCAAATTGTTTTCCTCTTTGTCCCCCCCCGCCATAGTTTTGGTTTCTTTTTTTTTTTTTTTTTGTTTTTTTTTTTTTTTGTTATTTTTATTTTAATTTGTTTTAATAAGTTTCCGTAATTTGAGACTAGCTTTCAGAGGCCAGATTGCAATTTAACTTAGTTGTGTACTGTATTTATACACTCAATGCCAAAGGGCAACTTACACGTAATTAGATATTGTTCCAAGCTATTATAGTGCAGTTTTAACGAATTGAAGCTTTGCAAACTTAAAACGGTTTTAATTGCAAATGAATGTTTTTGAAACGAATATAATTTTAGTTTTTTTCATCATCACACTGCTAAAGACACATATATATATATATATATATATATATATATATATATATTCGATAGATTTTATTTGTGCTTATTGTAATCATATATATATATATATGAAAATTCCATTATTGCATAATACATGCAATCTTAGTCAAAGCGGCTCTGTGGTATTTTGATTATATATTGTCTATTTATGTGTCTGTGGTTGACTGTCTCAATAATTGATGTGGTAGCTTGAAACTTTTAAATGCTTTCCGAATCGATCTTTACGATAAGATATTCCTTTCAGATTCAAATTCTCTCCTTACCGCACAAATTATCTACTGTTTCGTCCGTTTAGCTTACTATGTAGTCTTTACAACAGGAATTATTACCGCTTTGATCGGTTTACTATCGGTTTTCTATTGTTACAACAAAAAAGGTATATTGTTATTATAATACATATAGTTATAAATTAAAAATTGTAGTATAATGAACTGTTTTGTCAAGCTGCGTAATGTAATTAATTAAATAATTAAATACGCACTACAAGATTAAATTTCGATAAGCTTCTTATATTAATATATAAAGTTTGTTTTGTAGCTCTTCTAGTTATTGATTGGAATTTGTTTTGTAATAAAAATAAAATTCACGTATAGTTTCTGGAAAGCAAATTCAACAAAACGTTTAGAGTCCTTTTCGTGTAATATAATTTTTCATGATAAAATAACAAAAATAATATCTTGTTTCCATGATCTAGGCGGGACGGCCCATTCGCACGTTCTGAGAGATTGTTCTTCACTTTTTCCATTTTTTTTTTTTTTTTTTTGATCATATAGTTAAACTTTCTTGATATACAATAGCTTGATTTTAATGAGTAGCCTTCGGGTTCGGATTGGAAAAATATATCTACGTACAACCCAATAGGTTAAAGTTGACTTCTTTGTCAAGTTACTATTACAGACTAATTATACCCTATGGCAATTGTACTACAAGTGTATATTAAGTTTGTGCGTTTGTAAGCAACCTGAAATCGATCCACATTTTATTGGACCGATAGATTTTGAATTATTTCCTCAGCTTGTCTGTTCGTCTGTCTGTCTTCTTTTTCTGTGTTCAACCTATCGGTCGCAATGTG